CACTCACCTCAGCCTCCCAAAGGTGCAGGATTACAGGCTGAGCCACCGAGCCCGGCTTTCAGTCAATTTTAAATGAATGCTTTTGTGAATATTTGCTTTTTTACAAAGTGTACCTCGGTGTTTGCACGATTTTTTTTGTGCTTGTGATTTTTTTATTGATTGGTGAGTGTTTTGTCTCTATGATAATTTTTCTCCCTACCACCCCTTTAACATTTTTTTAAAACATTTTTTTGAGGGATGGGGGTCTTGCTGTGTTGCCCAGGCTGGTCTTGCGCTTCTGGGCTCAAGCGATTCTCCTGCCTCCGCCTCCCAAAGCACTGGGATTGTGGGTGTGTGCCACCGTGCCTGGCCCCCTTTTTATAGGTAGAAGTATCATGAACATATTGGTTTTCGGAATTGCTATGGAGCCTGCTAGTGACAGCTGCTAGCTTCATGGTCAGTTTCCTGGTTCATTGAGGTGCAAACTGGAAAGCATTGGGATCAGAACATTCTGTTACACAGAAGTATCTGAGGCTTGAAAGAAGCCCAGCCTCCAATTCCTCAGCCCAGCCCCAGAGACAGTCAGATGCAGTGTGTCAGCCAAGGGAGCCTGGCATGGAGGGGTGATATCAGGGTGTCTGGTACATTCAGATCCCAGCTCATTCCAGACTTCAGGCTGCAGGCTCAGGAGCTGGGGAAGGGAATAGATAAACTTGGTGACTCCTTTTTTTGCTTTTTAAAAGTGTACTGTTAAGTTTTATATCAACTGACTGGGCATGGTGGCACATGCCTATAATCTCAGCACTTTGAGAGGCCGAGATGAGAGGATCACTTGAGCCCAGAAGTTTAAGACCAGCCTGGCCAACATGGTAAAACCTCACCTCTACAATAAAATTAAAAAATTTAAGCTGGGTATGGTGGCTCACGCCTGTAATCCCAGCACTTTGGGAGGTGGAGGCAAGAGAATTACCTGAGCCCGGGAGTTCAAGACCAGCTTGGGAAACAGTGAGACCTCGTTTCTACAATAAATAAAAAATTAGCCAGGTGTGGTGGCATGCACCTGTAGTTCCAGCTACTTGGAAGACTGAGGCAGAAGGATCCCCTGAGCCCAATAGGTTGAGGCTGCAGTGGCCGTGAGCGTGCCACTACACTCCAGCCTGGGCGACAGAGTGAGACTCTGTCTCAAAAAAAAATTTTTGCCATAGAATTGCCTTCCTTTGACGATTAGCACCAGTTTCATCCTTGTGTTTCCCACAGACAAATATTAGGTGCAGATAGGAGTGAATGTGTATTGTTTGTTACCTGGGGTGATTTCTGGACTCAAACAGCAAAATTTCTTTTGCCATCCCTGCCCAGATCATGGGAGGTCTGAAACCGAAAGTGACTGATTGTGATGTGGGAAAGCAACGATACGCTGTGTCTTTGTGGAGGTCAGCTAGGCTGTGAGGTCTCTCTGGCAGCAGTGGGTAGGACATAAAGAGCCCAGGAAAAGGGGTGCCCCTGCTGAGCTGTGGAAAGCAGCTCCATCACCAGGGCTTTCCTGGAGCACCCCCTTCCCGGTATCCTTCAGAGGACCTTGGACAAATAGGGGCTCTCTTCTTTTTTTTGAGTCAGAGTCTCACTCTGTTGTCCAGGCTGGAGTGCAGTGGCACAATCTTGGCTTACCACAGCCTCGACCCCCTGGACTCAGGCGATCCTTCCATCTCAGCCTCCCCAGTAGCTGGGACTACAGGCACATGCAACCACGCCCAGCTAATTTTTTACTTTTTTGTAGCAGTAGAATCTCATCATGTTGCCCAGGCTAGTCTTGAACTCCTGGGCTCAAGCGATCCTCCTGCTTCAGCCTCCCAGAGTGCTGGGATTACAGGTGTGAGCCACTGTGCATAGCCCAAACAGGAACTCTCTTGATATCACCTACATAAGGATGTAGCTTCTGGGCCACCTGATGCCAGGCTTGGAGGTAGACTTTCCACACAGTTTCCCTCGATAAGCGGGCTGGAGCCTCTTTGAATTAGTGTGAAAAATGCCCCAAGAACCTACAAGCCATGGTACATTCTCGTGATGTGAGTCGGTGGTGCTCCCCTTGAGTAGGCCACGATTGGGGTAAGTGTGATAGCAGTCCAGCTCTCTCTTACCTCCTAACCATGGAGGTGGACTCCATTCAAAGCTCATTTCTTCCTGGTGGAAGGAACAGAAATCAGCAGCCCACGGGTTTAGGTGGCAGTGGCAGCGAGAAGGTGTCTCTCGGCCTGTTCATGGCACCAAGTTCTAGGCCAATTCCAAGGCTAGGAGGTCCTCTAGCCTAGCCAAGGCAAGGAGAAAGTGGTTGTACCCCAGGTCCAGGATGGCAAGTTGAGTGACAAGTACAGGAAAGATTTGGTCAGGAAGCATCAGAGACTCTTACCCACGTCCATGGAAGGTCATGGGTTTCTTCCCAGCCTTAAGTTCCTTCTTTGTGATTGGGCATGTGCTTAGTACAAAACTCAGAGGAGGGCTGGTAGCTGGGGAGAGAGCTAGGACCCCTCCTGGGGGGGGTCATCTCTATCTGGTGGGAGGGGGCCACTGGGAAGGCATGGACTCAGCATTAATGCTCTTTGACTCTGTTTCCTCTGGCCGTGTGCTTAGTGTGTGTCACTTCCTGGAGCTGTGTCAGAGCCCGGAAGGGGGCTTTGGTGGGGGCCCCGGCCAGTACCCACACCTCGCGCCCACATATGCAGCCGTCAACGCGCTGTGCATCATTGGCACGGAGGAGGCCTATGACGTCATTAACAGGTATGGCAGATCCAGTGGGACGGACCCTGGGGGCTCCCTGCTTGCTGGCACCACACTGACCTCAGCCTCTCCTGCCTCCAGAGAGAAGCTCCTTGAGTATCTGTACTCGCTGAAACAGCTGGACGGCTCCTTTCTCATGCACATCGGAGGCGAGGTGGACGTGAGGTGAGTGGGGGTAGCCTAGGAGCTGCCTCGGGTGACCGAGAGCCTTGGGAACAGCACGGCAAAGCTGCTCCTCCATCTCACGAGTGGATGACACATCAGTGACATGGTGTCATCATCGTGGTAGATGTGACACAGAAGTCCTCAGATATCATGATCGCTTCACTTCTTTCTTTTTTGTTTTGCCTTTTTTAGTTGGATCTCACTCTGTCACCCAGGCTGGAGTGCAGCGGCACAATCACAGCTCACCACAGCCTTGACCTTCTGGACTCAGGTGATCCTTTCACCTCAGCCTCCCGAGCTGGGATTACAGGCATGCATCACCATGCCCAGTTTTTATTTTTTGTAAAGATGAGGTCTCACTATGTTGGCCAAGCTGGTTTCAAACTCCTAGGCTCAAGTGATCCTTCCACATTGGTCTCTCAAAGTGCTGGAATTACAGGCATGAGCCACTGAACCTGGCTCTTCTTTTATATAAATGTCAACATATAAGTAAGACAGAAACAAAATACATGCTTTTGTTTTAAAGATTAATGATACATTTGTTTGGTATAAACAGGTATACCACAATATAAAAAACCGTGTGGTGTAATAGAAGCTTTCATCTCTCTGGGATAGGTAGGGAGACCAAAGTGCAGCAGGGACTCAGCAGATACTTTCCGAATGAATTCGGTGGCATCGTGAACACATGTAACACCTGAGTCCTCCTAGTACATGGAAGTTGCTCTGAGGTGCAGAGAGCCTTGTGGGCCAGCAGAGTGCAGAGCAGTACAGTCCCAGCTGTTGATTGGCACCAGTTGACTCAAAATTGGTGTTTCACCCAAGGAGTGCCTGATGTTCCTAGCAAGTGGCTTCTTGTCTGGCAGGAGATTACTTACGAGGCAGGTGGGAATTCATGAGTAAGTCATTTTTCAAAGACAGTGGCTCCTTGAGATTTTATACCATTTTAAGTTATTTAGTCTAAGAAATACTTGTTTTGTGAAGTTTCTGTATTAGAGCCATCCTACTGCCTATGTGGAAGAGGTTTTGCTTTGACACAAGTTGATTAATATTCTGGCTTAAGCATCTGGCCGAACATTGGTTTGAAAGTTACAGGGGAAGAAAACGCCATGAAGATTGTGGAGCATAAACCACATTGCAAGTAAAAGTAGGCACCCAGGCCAAAGGCCTTTAGTAAGAGATTTCTTCTCTTTCTCTTGTCTGTTCAAACTCAGAAATTGGATTTGGTGTCTGTATGTGCCAGTGAAGCCATTATAACTGTTGAGGTAAAGCAGTAGGTATTGATTCTTCTTAAGGAAAATAATAAAAGATGTTTTTCCCCTCATGGTCACTATATTGCCATTTCTATTCTGTAGATATTCCACCTAAATATGCTATCTTGAAACTTGGCTTTTTAAAACTTACTGAGGCCGGGCTCCTCGGTTGCTCAGCCTGTAATCCCAGCACTTTGGGAGGCTGAGGCAAGTAGATTGCCTGAGCCTGTGGGTTCGAGACCCATCCAGGCAACTTGGTGAGACCTCATCTCTACAATAAATCAAAAATTAGCCAGGTGTGGTAGTGCATGCCTATAGTTCTGGCTA